AAAAACTTTGAGCTAATTATATCTTTGTATTGTTATAAAAGAATCTTTGAACCGCTATAACGGTAGAGTTGTTATCCAAACCTACAAATCAAAAAAAAATGTTTATTCAATTTTCCATAAAAATTTCTTAACTTTACAATCTTGGAAAACTCTGAAAGCAAAAGTTGAAAGAGATAAAAACAAAAGCACCTTATGATCATCTCAGATTAGCTTCCATGAGCGATCTATTCAATTGAGTTCACAGGGATGAGCAATTCAGAAGGCGCTGGCATTGGGCACAATATTGAGCTCAAAATGCAGAACAAAAGGCAAGAGAAGCAGTGGTATCTCAATGTGAAAATTTCTGTGAAATTAACCTAAAACGAAGAAAAAATGGTTACAAAAAAATGCAGTAATCATGAATATGAGAACAAGACTAGTGATATACAAACCGAGCAAAGAGAAATAAATCAAACAAACTTGCTCCGACTATGACAACATATATACCAGACTTGGAAGAAACAGAACTTAAAATTTTGAGATGTTAAACAAAGAAAACTCGTAAGGAATATTTAGGTTAAGAATACGTATGCAATTTGAAGTAGTGGTAAACAATAGATCTATTCCTTGCCAGGGTGGAGCTCTGCATTTATTTGATACATAACGTACCAGTCGTGTACATACATTAGAATTGCAAGCGGTTGGCCAAGAATTAAGGAGAGCCAAACGACGACATTTCCTTTAAAACTTATCGTAAAAAAAGCTATAAAACAATTTGGAAAACGGGCAAAAGCAAACTAATAACTTCAAAAACCACACTTTAGAAGTGCTGACTAAAGTTAACAAGGGAAATTAAAGACTAATGGGAAGTCGAGAACAGCTGACGTGAGAAACAAAACTTACCAGGTCTTCCTCCTTTAATCACGTTATCAGTAAGATATGAAAGTGGTATTTGCGACATCATACCATAGTATGCCCATAATCGGAACATGTGCATGGGCACAGAAACCTTAAGCATTACTTCTCAAAACCTAGCACCTAGTCTAGAAGCAAACCAAAACCTACAAGATACTCATGGAAAAACGCTGAAACAAAAAATACCGCAACTGTGGCACTAAACTTGCTGAAAAAAAACATAGATACAGTAATAATCAAATAAAATATAAACATCTCAAAAGAGCTAACAACTCACTGGTAATGATTACGCACCATTGGCATATAAACGTGACGAGCTGCCCAACGATGAACTGGTATGTTCCATGTGCGCCAGAAGTACTGGATCGTCTCAGAATTCCAAAAATCACTAGAAACGAAAAAAGTTCAATTGATAAGCACTTTGGACAAGATGTTATATCTTACCGATAAAACTCTCTATCAGCAAACTTGAGGATTTCCGCAACTAAATTGAGCAAAGAATGGAAAATGGTGTAGAAACCAATCAGCCAGATGATCAGGTTGGGTATTGCAAGTTTCAACAGTCGCTCAAGGCATCTGTAATCCAAGAAAGTGAAGTTTATAAACAGAGAAAATTCGATGAGCTGGGGAAAAGGTGGGGAAGTAGGGGAAGGTAAGAAGGGAGAGACACAGGCGAAAATCCTTTCAAAGGAAATAATTAGACATTTGCGAGGTGGAGAATGAGAGGAGAGAGGGTAAGGAAAAATGAAGTTCTTTATGAATAAGTTTTGTCAATACGATGTAATTATCGACTAACCGTCCATACTCCATTTCACTCAAAGGTTTCATCGTGTTATGCACAGTAGGCACTACCCACTGTT